CTTCAGACGATGTGCAAGAGGTAATTAAGGACACGTGTTGGACGTTGAAAAAGACGTGTTAAACATTTTCAAATTTGTGACTTGATCAATGCTCGTTCTTACGAATGTATATCTTTCAGCTCTCGACTTGAAAACCAGATTGCAGATACGCTTACGCATATATTGCTTTTTACTACATTGGAGATTATTTCAACTGTGCCGAGAAGGCTGGCCATGTTTTTCTGACTATCTGTGAAAATATGAGGGATAATAAAGTCTTCAAAGATGCGGACTCGGCAATTGAATCCGTTATAGAAAACGTAAAAAGCGTTAGTAGCTTGTGTACACCTATGTGTATATTATAATATATTATTATTAAATATATATTTAGGTTGATTGGTTGACACAAGATGTACAAACTTTAGCGGCGTTAAGAGAAGCTGGCGTTTCCATTTTGCAAGGACCAGGGGCCGAAATGAAAACCGTTTATACGTCCGCGGCACTCTCCGAGCTCCACCGATTGCTAGCAGCAGCGAAGAAAGAAATTTTAACCTGCAAGAGGAACATCAAACAAAAGAATTCACAAAGAGATTTTCGCAGAGACATAGCGATGACCCAAACCTGTCGAGAAAGAGTATACTTCTGTGCTTGAAGAAGCTGGAATATTATTTATCATGGGTAAAAAGCGCCGGGACAGGAGTCTTTTGTAAATGCAAAGTTATTTATTGATATACTGTATTGATATACATCGTGGTCATTTATTAAAATAAAAAATAATATTCTATTAATATATCATTTAAATTAATGACTCTATCTCTAATTCTTCTCCCTACGTTTCTTTCTTTCTTTTCCTCTACGCACCGTTAATCCCGCGAGAGTGACTTAACGAGGAACACGATCAAAGCGCGTACCGCTGAGAGGTCAAACGAGAATTCGTAGCGCATCGGTGTGCTGTGAATGAACGTACGTCTTGAGCGAAGACGTGTACATATGCCGGCGTTACGTGTGTATGCATACGTTTCTCCAGTGTAGCCAGTCAAGGAGTATCCGATGGTGTCGCTTGATAATTCGCTCGCGAGCCTAGGAGCCTCGATGATCGCGAGAATCTTCCTCGCGATCGCTCTTCTTTTCCTCTTTTTTTACGTCAGCCTTGCTTTTACGCTACGAGTGTGTATGTGTGTATATGTGTACGTGTATTAGTTTTAATCTTTCTCCTTCCTTCTGATTTACGTTTCTATCTCAATCGTCAGTTGACTTAATTGTACACGATATAGTTATATTATACAAAATATGCACTTCAAAAATATCCGACGCCACGAACCTTTTGAACCACAAAATGCTCACGCACTGCCACGTTATTACTAAAGTCGTTTTAAATAGATGGCGAAGAAAAAGGTGGGAAAGGGAGGCAGATCGGGGTGGCCGAGCAAAGGAGCGGTGGCGGGGGTGAGGGGAGGAAAAGGAGGAGGAGGAACTTACACTTAGAGTTTTACAATACTTAGAGCTGATATAACACTGGCAATAGTCGTGTCATCTAGTTCGGTGTGTGTGACGTTTATCGTGCGCGCCTGGTGGGCGACCTGGGTTGAACTGTGGAGATCGTATGGGCGGTGGCGAACGGACTGACTGCACCAATTGTTGCTGTACGGAGATCCTAGGCGGACCAGCATCATCAGCTGTTGGAGCTGTTGGAGCTGTTGCTCCAGCTGTTGGAGCTGTTGCTCCAGCTGTTGGAGATGTTGCTCCAGCTGTTGGAACCGTTGCTCCAGCTGTTTCAGTCGCAACAGCATCATTATTTGCTGGCGTGTGAACATCATATCCTGCAAACCAGGTTGTTGTTGTTGGGGTTGATTAGGACCCAATGGTTCGCCGACTCCCCCACCATGCTGACCAGGTTGTTGCTGATAAACAAGCGCATTTATTAAGTCTATTTATTAGAAGATCACAGAATAGTCAAATCTGTGTAATAATATGGATACATTTGAGCTGTTTCAGAACGCGCTTACAACGATGTTAGCGCGAGATCTTCTTCTTCTTATTATGATGGCCGTCGAGCGCTGCTCAAATATAGGCCAGGGCGAACCATTCGTCGTTTAAGGCTCCTGGACCCCTATTCTGTAACTCGTAACGACAGTATCGGTATCGTTACGTTGTCGTTGCGCAGGTATACTATATGGAAAAAAAGCTGCGCAACGACGACATAACGATACCGACACTGTCGTTAGAGTTACAGAATAGGGGTCCTGGGTAGTCACCGCGGCCATATTGGATTCTTACTATCGAGGCGAGGAAAACACCTAATTTTAAGTTGCGGTATTTTCCAAAATAAAAAGACATTTCAATAAAAAATCACAATAGATCGTTTCAGCACACTTCAAAAATTGACCGGATACTATCCTTTTTCCTCGACAATAAACAAACAGCCATAAAACGAAGCCTAAACATACGGAAAACAAGCCGTTTGACGACTATCGAAAGGAGTGGTGAATGTTCCTTCCGCATATATATTTCTTGCAAATCTTACCATACGGTCAATTTTACGAGTTTCACGAATACGTTAAACGTTAGAGCACAAGTACAGAGCGAATAATAAAGAAATATACCGCAACTTAAAATAAGGTTGTCAACATGTCACAAGACAGAATTCTCCATTGGAGAGAGTGAGAGGAGAGAGTTCTTATTTCTGCCACGACGGTACGGCGCTACCGTCAACGCAGAGTTCTCGGCTCAGGGACCAGGAGCCTTAAAAGTAAAGTCCCCAGAATAGAAGGCCTCGAGTTGAGAAGCGCAAGTTCCGTCACTACCTCTATCGATACCATAGACATATTATATCTAGACCGAGCGTTAAGGAGTGGGGGTATAGGCGCACGTAGAAAGAGAGACACTCTGTTGTGTGGCTGTTCGTTCTCTCTCGTTTCGCGCATGCGTACGCAAAATAAGTGTGATGGGAGGGAGGTATTAAGAAAGAGAAGCGAGGTGGAACGAGAAACTAAAACTTGGAACATGAAACGGCTAGAAGTTGCTGTAGGACCACAGAGTAAATACGTTTATACGTTTTACATATAAAAAGATAATGCTTTTTACGGCGAGTTTGTTTATCGGTATTTATTCAAGTTTATAAAAGGACGCCAATAAAATAAAGTAGTGAAATAAAGTGCCTGGGGAACGTGAAAACTCTCTTTCTCTATGGTAGATGGTGACTATACGTATCAAACGTTAATAAATACTATAAACAGATGACGTAAAAAGCAATATCGCAATTTATACGTAAAAAGCATATTACTCTGTGGTTCTGCAGCTACGGCATAAAGTAAATACCATCAACATTAGGAATAAACACAAGTTGTATGTATTGGTTGTTATATATATATATATATATATATATATATATGAGCTATTATAATCTTAAAAT